TAATTATATGGACGCCTGTGACCTGATTTTACCTACTCAGTTTTTTCTTCTTTTAATGGTAATCACTTATGCTTATCCAAGTAAGGATGTTCGGTTGATTACTGCAACCACAGATCGTTGATTTCTTAGTTAATTGACAGAATCGCCCATCCGTTATCGCCACATTATTCCAATATACTAAGCGTGATTTAGATGTAAAGCTCAGCAAACAGAGCTTGGGTAAAATCAAATGTGCGCATGTGTATAGAAGACAAGTACTTTAATGTAAAACACAAATTTCCAGCAATAGTGATATCGTTAGATGGTGTTGAGATTTTGATTTTGTTTGAACTCGGTTGGCTTTTGCTGACATCTCTTGTAATGTAGAGCAAACTAGGGCTAAAAATTCTAATCACAGAGCAAACAAAACCATAAAATATACGAGCGTGATCTAAACTTGGTTGAAGCATAATGCGTGACTAAGTGAAAACTCCAGTTAAAGAGAAATTATTATTTTCGTGTTTCGGCATCCAGTGTGCTTTGCAGTGTAGATGAATCTTTTCCTTACATGAGATGTAATGGAGTTCGTCATTTCACGATATTTTGCCTGAAATCTCTCATGTTTCTCAGGTCAAAAGGTTCTCAGGCGGTAATCTCAGGGAGCGACTTTTATTGATGTGTCGATAGGTCCATCAGCACCTATGGTAGTTTGGATTTTGCTTGTGTTATTTCTTCCTCTCTTAGGAGGTTAGGTGGTTCAAGTGCAAATTGCTCGGCTAAATAGTGGCGAGAGGAATCTTCTCCTTTGATGTCATTTGAGAATCTGTCACTTCAATATTCGCACAACGAACCCTTAAATGAACGTTTGAGCACCTCTAAAGTGCGCTGCAGTGTATGATTTGTTTGTACAGAAGAAAAGGAGCTCTTCGTCGCTTTAAATTCTAAGTAAGTGTAAATAATCGTCTTAAGTAAGTGTGAAGTGTTGCGCTGCTTCAATTTTTTTGCAGGTTGTCTTTCACACTCACAATCTCTTTAAAGATGTCTACATAGTAAAAACGTTCAAATGCTCAACACTGTATTGTCAGTGTTCGTACGCTTGCTCCGAATTGTCAGGATTGGGCTTACTAGACTTGAGTTGGGTAGTTTCGTTTAGTCTATAGGCAGTTATTTATCTTCTCTGTTGGTGGTAACGTAAGGCGCAAGTCGCACGAATCATAACTTTCTGCAAGCTACTTTGATGCTGGGAACTGTGTTGGCGAACAAAGGTCAGTCAACTTCAGATGTGCGCTTGTAAAATATAAAACATCCCTTTTAAGACAAAGTGCAGACCTGTGTGACTTATTTTTTAGATTAAGGTAGGGTGTTGAAAAACTATCGAAGGATTTTAGTTAGGAAACAGCGTCCAAGTTGTTAAGTTATTTTCATCTTGGTGTGCTTCGTTGTTTTCTTTTCCCATAGAAGCCGTTTCATCATGTTTGTGGAGAGTATACAATCACTCGGAGTATGTTCCCGGTACTGTTTATAAGATCATAGGTTAATGTGGACTTAAATGATACGTATCCGTTTTCTTTACCTTCACTGCGTGCACAGGACGTGCATAGTTCCTGAAGAGACTAAACAAAAACAAAAAATCGTCCAACAAGCCATATTAACTCAAGCAGTGTCAAGATACAAGACAAGGTTCAAAAATGGGGTTGTTGTTAATTTTGTATGTGTGTTTTCCTCATCTCCCTCTCTCTTTTTACACTTCCGTCGTTGGCGAGCGAATTAGTCAAAGCAACCTACTAACTGTCAAGAACGGAATTATTCAAATGTCATAAAATATCTTAGTTGAATTTTGTCCTCGTGTCATGTTGCGTAGACTTGTTAAATTTCATATTTAAAAGGCCTTCAAGTTAATTGCTTGCGAGTTACATCGCAAAGCTTTATCTATGAAACGCTCAAACGAGTTAATGTTACAAATTATGCTCTCCCTCTATATTTATCTATGTGCATTACGGCGAAAACATCATTCGATTGCCCTATAAATATATAAGGATCGACATTATGTCTGTTTTGCATCAATAACTACGAAATTGCAGTGCAATTTACAATGAATCAATTTATATTGAGTGCTTTTAGATTTTAGGACAATTAAAAAAGCATTTTCCATGAAAGAAGCGGCCTCTATCAGCAAAGTAGTTCGAAACTGCCTTGATGATATTTCCATTTGTGACCTGTTTTGGTGAAGGAGAAGGAATTCTCTTGACTAAAACACCAGTTCGAACATAATTTATCAGTTAAAAACTGCCTTTGAAATGTTGTCGTTGTGTCTTATATTTGTGGGTTTCTGTTTGATTAAAACACTGATGGTTTTACTGATGATTTTCGAATTATGTTTTATTATGATATTCTCGATGATAACTGTATTTCCTTTAGGGCTCATCTGTAACTTCTGTTTATCACTTTGAGGGAGGCAGTTTTATGCGGTCTCATCTCAATTCACATATGGAATAACACTGGTAACAAATTTAGTCACATCGAACTTAGCAGCAGTTGTTTCGTATTTTTTTATGGTGGCGATAACTCGCCACCATGGCGAAAACCCAGCTCTCTCTTCACCACTGGGTAGAAGAACGATTCCTTTACCTTGGAGATATTATTCCGCCAAGATTCAAAAGATAATCGGTAGAAAGTAAAGAAACAAAAAATGAAAACTCCAGGTATATTTTCCGTATTATTAGGATGTGTACTTTATTTACAAATGATTGTACATGTAAGTTAGAATTTGTGGCACATATCGAAGAGTAATACAGCTGCCTGTTCGAGGAATCCGGCTGGTTTTATCTCTGTGGGGTGATAATCGATATAGTTTTTCATTTTCACTTGAAGAATTTTATCTCTTTTAGAAATAACTCGACTACTTGCGATTTTCGGATTCTAAAGGCATTCTCTTTGCTTTGCCTCGCTAAGGATGAACTGTCGTCGCTTACTTCCATGCAACATTTTGTTTTCTTTCATCCAATGGAAGAAGAACGAACACGAAAGTACTACAAATTGGAACTTTTAGATTGAAAAGCTTATTAAATTATTTCATGTTGTTGAGGACAATTGATATAGGAACCATGTAAGTCTAGCTTTGGAATTGAACATGTCGCGAAAGAAACTGAAATAAAACACAGAAGAGCATCAGAGTTTAACTTAAAACTTTTGTAAACAATGGACCACCAGTAGCAGAAACGGCGTAAAAGTACTTTGCAGTGGGAGGGTGTTAAGGTTATCGATTAGTCCTTTGTTACGTACTTTCTCTGACCTGCCAAGTTGTTGTCGATGTTTGCCTTTTTGTATTTGTATTTTCTTTGAAATATGCCAATAGTATTTTATCGGGAATGCTCGAAAAGAGGAGGACTTTAGCGTTGAAAAAGCAATGCGTTTCACTGAAGTAATAAAAAGTATGGCTTTGTATTTTTGCCTTGTATCATCATCATATGTTTAGTTTTACATTTGCTTGATAAAATGCCCGCAGCCGGTAAGGCGCCTTGTGTACCCATAAGACTCATTATGAATATTTTTATTTATTTCACTCGCTTTAAGATTCTCTCCTTTAAACTACGGAAAAAAAGAAGGGATAAAAAAAAAAAAAAAAAAACAAGCGTCGCGAACGTTAAGGAAACCCAATATACCGCAATCACGGTTTACGCGATTTCCTTTGACGGAAGAATTGTAACGAGACACATTTGAACAGGATTGAAAAGTGGTTGAATGCGATCTCTGCCTCATTTAATTCCAAGCAATTCTTGAAAATGAATTCGGTAGTTAAAGGTGTAATAAACAAAACCCGCCATTCTCACACCTTTGCACAATTAGTGGTAGTCGTTAATGGCCTCTATTGAGCGAGTAAATGCTCATTCTAGGTTGTTGTCTGTTCAGTTGTTCCATTTAGAAAAGGGGCTTTGTCTAGCTGGCACTTAGTGCGAGCTTTTGTTTTTGTTTGGTTGTTCTGTGCTCGGATGAGAGTCATTTAGTGAGTACACAAATTGGTGGTTTGGTAGAGGCTGTCTTCTTGTTATATTTTAGCTTTCTTATCAAGATTAATTACAGTATTTTACTGATGGTTTTTTTTCACATTTCGCCTTTTTGAAATGTACGGTGTGAAAATTTAGCCGCAATTCTTCATTTAGCTTTCTTCTACCGCAGGCTGTCAATGATGGCATTAGTATGTTCCGTTTTAATACCACGTGCCTCTCTACCATCCGGAGAAAGAGTGAGTTACAGCACAAAAGCATAAAAGCATAATGTAATCATCTCCTCGCTTTCAAATTGTTTTGTGTTTGAGAAGGAAAAATGTATTACGATATTTCAATGGCACTAAATGACGAGGATTGCAACCGGCTGTTAGCTTTACATTAATGTGAAGATCAGAGATAAACATACATTTTTTTTTGGCTTAAAGAGGCGTATTAAACTTGTGCTACCAAATTGAATTATAAGTTTCTTTCATCCTCTTAAGTGGGTCGCACGCTGTAGTTATTGAGATGAAGTATAAGATGAGTAGTTGGACGCCATGAAATAATCTCATAACGCCAAGAGCGCTGAGGTTATGCCACCGCCTAGTACTTTCGCTGATAACCCGAGATATTTTTTCAAGCTAAAATGTTTTTGTTTGCTCGAAATGTTTTCTTTTATGTTTTTACTTCTTGACAGTACATTATCTTCAGGGAGCTGAAACCGGAGAAGCCATTCTATTATGTGGCTTCAGACGAATTTAGTTAGTTATGACAGTGGGAACTGATCGAGGATCAGGATCTGTCGCGTGCGAAAATGAAGGGTTTCAAATCCCCCGCATCTTGGGAGCAAAGTAAGCTTACAATGAACTCAAGTGATGGTATATGCAAGTTAAGCCTTCCAGTCGCCTACCATTTGATGGAAGCGATTACAAAAGTAAAGCCTGTTATTACTAGGAATTGATTTTCTCATATTAAACACACATCTCTAAATAGAACACTCCACACAAAGCGATGCGATGATAATATAAATGGCCATTAACACCTTCAAACGATGTGCCATTCTTAGTGCGACTTTAGCAAACAGGAAACCATGGCATCCGAGAAAAGAAATGCTAACATTGAAGAAACTAAAACGGTCTTTAGCTATTCATGAAAATTTAACTTCCATTAAAGTTTATTCAAGTACCTAGACCAACGCATTTAGACTCGTATGTTGGTAATGGATTTAACAGATGGCTTTGTCTTCGGTTTCACACTTCCGTCGGCCATCTAACTGCCCTGAAGTGTCTCTTTAAGTTTTCTCAAGCTTTTTGCTTGAGTTTGGAAGTGAAGGGAATCCTATCCGTGCGACTGACATGTTAAACGAGATCCATTAAGCGTGGCATAAACGAATCATCTTGTCGTTCAAATAGTGTCGTGGGAGGGGCACCTAAATGAGTATTAAAGAAGTGTTTTACAATCACATTAAGCCCCAGAATAAAAGCCCTTGTAATGAGCACTAATGAGTATCTTTGTAGTTGATGAACGATGCACTGTAATCAAATTCAGTCGACTGTAATTGTATTTTGGGTGTCGCAGTGATACTTATCTATCGTTCTATCTCCCTTTCGGTAAATGAATCAATCGAAAAAATGCAATGATTTCGACCGTTAAATTCTTGCGCACTATCGACAGTTAACAAAGCGCCCTCGGATGTGAAACTTCAGGCATCAATTAAAGCTAAACTAATTCAAAAGAGATGTGGACAAACATGTCACCCGGGCCTTTTATAATTTCTATTTGGGCTGCACAAAGTTGCAGCTCTCTTCCGAATTATCTCTGGCTGTATTTCAGCTAGTCGCGACTTAAAATTTCCAAGTTTAGGTAGTTGTGAAATAAGAATCAGCTGGCTCTTTGTTCAGAGAAGTGTATTTATTTATCTTAGGCGACTGTGTTGTCTTTCCTATGCATTCTCCGACCTAATTCTGTGAATGTTTTGTTATTTGTGATATTAAAAAAGTTTGGAAAAATTTACTGAGATGGTTCCTGGCTACAGTGATGCTTATAGAAATCAAAGTGGTCTACTTTGGTACATAGTTGAGTTTTGTGCTACTGTTGGTATAAAATTGAAATATAGTTCATGTCCCTTTTTCCTTTCGATATCTACTAATAACCGTCGCTCCAACTTAAGGCCTATAATTGTTTCTTTAGGGAATTTTTTTCAATCCCTCACTCAATCTGAACACTATCATGCACTCTCGTTAATCTTAATCTTGGATTAAAGGTAATTAAGAGCCTAACACTCGCGCAATCTGTTTTCGATGATGTGAGTAAACTTTAAGAGAGTAGACCACTCCATGTAATTCACCGGACACAAGTGATTTACTTCCGCAGCTAGGAGTAAAAACGTTATCCTCTGCTAATCTTTTTACCTTTTTGCCGCTATTTGGTGTTAAGCAGCAGAATACTTTTGCGACTGGGCCATCGAAAACAGCAGCGATTAAATTGTTTGAATACTACTCTTTGAGTGTCACTGTCTTCGTGTTCGTGGGGTTTGATCTGAAGGATCTGTTTGTTGTTGTATTTGGGACGTGATTCAGTAGTCTTGAATTCATCTGTAGTAAAAACCACAAGGTGGAGCGAAGGTTTGACTGCCAAATGGTGCCACTGATAGACCCGATAATCCTATGTCTTCATACTGCTTGTGATCATCCCGAACTAAAACTCGTACCGCGACTTTCTTCGCCGCACTCGGAGGGCATATTTCTGATGCGAGCTGACGGCGTTTTGTTTTGTATCTCCGGTTCTGAAACCAGATTTTAACCTGTGTTTCGGTCAGTTTTAGAGCAGCAGCAAGCTCTGCCCTCTCAGGTCCAGACAAATATTTTTGATGGCTGAACCGTCTTTCCAATTCGAAGACTTGAGCGTGCGAGAAGGCCGCTCTTGATCGCTTCTTTCGCGGTTTGGCCTGTTGTTGAGGGTTAGAAGTCGAGGTGTGGTTGACATCTCTTTCGTGGTTTTCTGTAATGAAGAAACAAAAAAAGCGTAAATCAGAACATGCGCCATTGCTTAATTGAGAATTGTCTAATTAACACAAATTAACTCGGTCTCTAAAAAGCCATCGAAGGTTCGATTTTAAGTCGTGAACGGTGACTGAGTGTGACTTACTATGAACTTTCGCTATTTCTTCTGCACGCTCTGCGATTTCTTCAGGATTTCGTTCTCCACTTAGCGAGGGCAATGCTGTAGGAACTTGCGAGGCAGTGAATGATTTGTAGCAGCTCAGTTGATGGATGGGTAGAGCGCCTTGAAAGTACGGTAATGGCAAATATGTCGGCGACACGGGATGAGTATGGGCAGGGTGCTGTCTCCAAGTGGAAAGGCTGCTGTTATTCTGCTGTGGGACATCATTGCGATTCAAAATATCAGTAATCGAGAACGGTGTAACAGGAGTCCTGATTGCTTCGTTCATATTCCTTAGTTTAAACCTGGACACGCAACAACGTTGAGAGGAGATGTTTGCGGTGTTGGCGTTCAGGACTCACGCTGATGACCGAAACAGAAATAGGATACCACCCGTAGATGTGAACCCTAAAAACAGTACTTGGAGACCTACAGGAATTTTTACAATATCATTATTCAGCGATAAGAAATCAAAATTGAACATTAATCGGCGATTGGTCGATGTCCACGTATCACCTAGTGGCTGTTGATGAGAAAATCAAGCTAATCAGGCATTCTTATTGGCTACTTGCTTCATTTACGTAGTTTGTTGACATTCTGTTAAAGAGCGTTGACACAATGCAATTAAGAACACACGGCTTCTCAATTACGCAAGGATCGGGGTCTTCCGAGCGAAGGAAGCATCAAGATGTGATAGAATCATGAAGAGTGGGTGCAAATTACAGTGAGCTTTTCAAAACATTGCTTGTTTACAGAGATAACAGGGGAGAGGTCCAAGGAGGTTAACCTATTTTGGTTTAGTTTTCATGAGAGGTGATTAAAAAATTTTTAGAACCGTTCAAGGCAGTGTTTGTGGGGTAGTTTTCTTTAAGGTGAATGTCTGAATTCTCACTTTTTTTCCAACATGAAATTTTGAAGCGCGAAAAGTGACCAAAGGCAAAGAGCACATGACTGACAGCTTGCTTGGGTATGGGCTAGATGGGTGGCACTGACGGTTTTGTTTTGTGAGTCTGCTTGTGGAGGGCTATTTAGTCGATAATGACTTCTCACCTCATGCCAATCATTGTGCCGATTCTGCATACGTGTTAATTCGTTTATTATTTTACTATTGTCAGGTAATGTCGCTTAATGATTGCAGTGATTGACGTCCGAACAATAGGGAACGCGCCATCTGCTGCGAATCCTTTGTTGACAACGTTTACATGCACTTTAGGACATTTCCATACAAAGGCTCGTCAGAGCAGATTTTTATTCCGATCTCGTTTTACCTCTCAACGGAAACTTAAAGTGAAGGAAGTGCTTTCAAAAGAACACAGGCAATTGAAATGACAATATTTAGGCATTTAAAAGGTTTTTTACTTGAGTGTGGATTGCTTTCAAGGATGTGAAATCGACATCATTAACGCGAAGCTCATGACAGCCATCAACTTCTGTTAACTAATGCGATTACTGTGGTCCACGGAGTTCATATTGAGTTTTTAGCTTAATGTCTTTTTTTGACCTGTTTGTTCACACTTGGAAATTTTTCGGAGAAATAAAAAACTGGTTCAATCACTTAATGTCGAAGACTTTATTTCCCATTTCGTCCCTTGTCTCGATTGAATTTTTCCTCGCCGTACTTTATCAACTTATTTTGACCATCTTCTTTTTACTACGAAGTTGTTCTCCGGCAATTCATCTGGTGTTACATTACTTTCCCTTCGTCTTTGCGATATTTAAACAGGATCGATTGCGGAACTAAAATTAACTCGATTTCAATGAGGGAAATGTGAAAATTAATCACAAAATTTACATTTTTGTTGTAAATAAATAGCCCGTTATTTCTTCTTACTGCAACTAGTTAGAATTGACTTAATTACCGGCCGGTATGTTTTTGAAATGTGTGTTTTAACTAATGGAATATTACTTGTTCTAATTTCGGCTTTCTTTTGGAATATCCTCCTTTAGTTGCTGGCATACTTGACAAATAAAATTTCACATCAAGGACAGCAATCCATTCAACCCATGCAAAATTAAAAGACGTCTAAGAGCCCGTAACAGTGGTGTTTTCAATTTAAAATTTTATTCGTTTAAAAGGAACACGTTGAAATAAACCAAAAATAAAAATTTTTGCGTCAAAAGTACGAAAGGATGACCCGTTTTTTATGTAACAGCTGACATAAGCAAGCCGGCAGATTTAAAAACACTGGCTTCATCTTCATATTTGAGACACGGAACATATATATCTTAATGGATATAATATAATAGCCTTGTGTTTTGAATCTCTCGTTGGTGTTGGCCTCTTTTCACAATGTGTGTACCACAAATCGCCAATTAACTTCTAGTGAATGTAATTACTTTAAAAGCTATCTTTATACTCGCGGTGTTCCTGTTCAAAGCAACTTCTGTCTGCTTTTATCGTTAATTATTCTTGTATCGCGAGGTGAACATTAAAACCATGCACGCACGAGTTACGCTGTGACAAGTTCTCAGTTACTTGATTGCTTATCTTGGACTCATCATCAAGATATCGCCAAAATTCACACATAGGTTTTGACAGCCTAATTCCAAAGCTGGTCCTCACTTGTGAAAAATAGATACGAGAAGGCACGAAGTTAGAACTGCAATCTATTTAAAAAAGAAAGGAGGAAAAAAGCATCTTGTTGCTAGTTACTTTTCTGTGGTATTTTAAGTTTTCTTGAATTAATTCTTTCTTAAACGAATGTTCAATACTGTGAAATGAAGTCAACCTTAGATCTATATTATGTCCATGTTCATCCGATATTGAATTTGCCAGTGTCGCACGTGTATTTTGCTTATGACGCCCAACATATCTTAATTCGTCTATTTTTTTCCTATTTATAAATTTATGCTTTGACTTCGTCTGTGGGAAA